AATAAAAAGTTTGAAATATAGAAACTATTTCCGATTAATTTTAATAATTTTTAAGTGGTCCTTCATTTATTGGGGGGGCACTGTATATATAAAGTAGTTGAAAATAAATAAAAAATTTTTTTGTTTTTTTTTAATTTAATTTTTTTATATTAAAATTTTTTTGTAATTTTATTCTCAAATCAAAATTTTTTAATAATTAATATCTTTAAAAAATTATTATTATTATTATTATTTATTTATTTTTATTTTATTATATCTTCAAATTATAAAAACAATTATTTAATTATAAAAAATTATTATTATTTTTGTTACATTTGTTACATTTGTTATATTTGTTTTTGTAATTGTTTTATTTGTACCACAATAATAACTTTAATGATTGTCATTTTGGTCACATGATACATCGCCACTCCACTCCGCTTTTTCACGCATCTCAAAATATTATCATCATATATTCCGAACAACGCGTTTAAGGTTTACTACTAAAACTGATGGTAGATATCTGGATAAAAAAATAAACTTTCTGGTTGGGAATGTTCTTGTTCATATTACGCATTTAATTTTAATATTGCCCATTATCATGCAAAGGTTAAGCTATAATTTCTAAAAATAGTGTGGCAGACGCGTCAAGGCACGACGCGTAGATTGCCACAATTGATTACGCGCCACAAATCGATCGATGTTTTGATATTTGGACTTTTTCTGAAATTCCCGTTATGGTAATGATGATACGACTATTTGTGCAATCATTGATTTCCATTTACAACTATTTATACGACTACAAGGTGGCAAATTTGTACTCTTTTTGTATCCGATTTTTTCTCATTATCATCTTACCCAGTAAATTTTCAACCATTATTACAACTTTTATCTTTGAATAAAGAAACATGTCCACTACGGAAAAAACAGACGCCGGAAGGAGTTCCCGTGCACGTAACTCTGAAAACATTGTTCCTGGTAGTACTGGCCCGGAGGATGCTGGTGCAAAACCTAAAGTGAGTAATTAAGTTTGTAACGTGAGAGCTCGAGATGAGCGAAAACTTCAAAAACGTTCTTGAGGCGAAAGCTAGTAGAAGTAAACGAAAAAATTTTTTTAATCTTTTCGGTGCTTACCGTAGACTAAACAACGTAAAGGGGCAAAAGCTGTATCTTCAGGTTCTCAAAAAACATCGAAAAGTGTTAAAGCAGGTAAATGCAATGTTTTTTGAAGGGTTTTTCTAATTTTTTTATCAAATAAGTTACGTAGATTAATATTTGGTATCAACTAATAATTTGAAAATTTTTTGCTTAGGTCTTACTTTCCCGGTTGGTCGTATGGGTCGTCTCTTAAAGAAGGGCAGATATGCTGACCGTGTGGGTGCGGGAGCTCCTGTTTATCTTGCTGCTGTTATAGAATACTTGACCGCCGAAGTGCTCGAACTCGCTGGTAATGCTGCCCGAGATAACAAAAAACAAAGAATTATTCCTAGACATTTACAGTTGGCCATACGAAATGATGAAGAATTAAACATTTTGTTGAGGAACGTACACATCGCCGAGGGTGGTGTCCTTCCGAACATTCACATTGAACTGCTTCCCAAGAAGAAGGGTGAGAAAATTAAGACCGGTGGTCCTGTAACTCCATCACCAAAGAAACCTACTAAAGGCGGCAAGACTCCATCATCAGCGGCTAAAGCTTAAGGCTTTTATATATATATCTATAGAAATATATCTATACGTCGGTTTTGGGATTTAATTTTTTTTTTTTTAAGGTTTGCAAGTTTTTCCTTAAATCATTACAATCTTTCATTTTTTCGATTTTGTGTACATGACAATTAAATAATTAGAATCATGATTGTCAAAAATCAAAAATATACATAAACTTCAATACATTTTTACATTTGATAATTGATATAAACAATAAAACAACTTCGATAACTTCAAATTAAAATTATAGGATTTTTTGATTATTTAGATTTCGTGATTTAGGTTTTAACTTGGGAATATGTATTTAAAGGTAGTTTAGATATATTGAAATAAAAAAATATTTTTTTTGTCACATTAAATGTATAGTAAAATTTTTATTTGTAAATAAATTAAATTACAAAAATTTAAAAACTTTTAAAAATTTATATATATAAATTTTTGAATAATAAATAAGTTTTTAAAGGTTTTCAAAGTATATTTATTTATTTAAAGTTTTATAATTATATATAATAAATTTTAAAAATTTTAATTCTGGTATTGAAAAATATTGAAATAATTTTGATTTTTAAAAATTAATAATATAATTGTTAAATTACTTTTAATAAATCTTTTATATTTATTTATTATATATATTTATTTTATTTTTTATAAATATTATTATAATAAAATTATAACTTTTATTAAATTCTATATAAAAAATTTTTTAAATTAAAAAATTTAAAAATCTTTTAAGTTTTTAATTTAATTTATTAATTAAAGTATAATATAAATTTTTAAATATTTTTGAATATATTTAATTTAATTTAAAAAAAATCTTGATTTAAAATAATATATTTTATTAAATATTATTATTTGTAAATATTTATATATCTATATAATTAATTAATAAAATTTAATAATATATTAATATTTTTAAAATATTTTCAATAGATATAAAATTTTTTAAACTTAATTATATACTTTTTTTTTATATTTTTATAAGTTTTAAATATAATAACTTTTTTTAATAAATTAATATTTATAATATTATTTTTATAACTAAACAAAAGTAATAAAATAATTTAAATTTATAATTTATATATTAAACAAAAATTAATACTTTCAATTAATTTATAAAGATTGAAATAAATTAATAATTTAAAAAAAATCTTTAAAAATTTATAAAAATATTTTATAAATAATTTTTTTTAAATTTATTGTTTATTGTTTTATTATATTTTTTAAATTTATTATTAAAATTTATTATAATAATTATTTTATATCTGATTTTTTTTTTTTACTTCAAATTAAATTATATACTATTTAATTTATTAATCTTATTTGTCAAAAAACATTTATATATTTGAATTAGAAATACTATAATAAAGTTAAAACTTTCTATTGCTATATAATACACTTATTTTAAGTTTATAGTTTCTAATAAAATTTCTAATTGAATATTAAAATAATATTGCCTTATAATAAATTTATTATATAGGTTATAATTTATTATATTAAACTTATAATAAATTTAGTATCAACTTAATATTGAAATAATACTATTAGAAATTCTAATCTCTAAATATAATTATAGAAAATAAAAAAATTAAGTTATCTTATTTTAGAATATTTTATTAATTTAAAATATTATAGTCAATTATTTTATATTTAAATTATTATATGAATAATTATTTTTGAAGGTGATAAAAATACTAGATATGATTTTTCAGACCTAACTTTTAAACAATACATATATAATATAAATTTTAAGATCATACCAGAAAATTTCTAATCTGCCTTTGAAAATAATTACCCATATATATATTTTTTAAATAAGTAAATATTATTACTTTATTAATTATAAAATTATTTAAAATTTATATATAAAAAAAACAATAACATTTCTTATATAACTTGTTAAACTAATAAGTCTAATACTAATTTGCTTACAAAAACTATCTAATTAATATAAAAAATAAATATTAAAACTAATGTATATTTAAGATAATGTTGAACAACTATAAATATCTATTTAGAATTATATAAAATAAAATTTAAGAAAATATAAAAGTGAAAAAAGAAAATATTAAGCAAAAAAAAAATAACAAAAAAACTAATTATAGTATAAATAATACTTAATGTTGTTCTGATAATTCTATTTTTTCAAAATACTGTAACTAAGGATGGGTTCCTAAACTATTTAGCATATAAAATTTTGCAGATCAATTGTCCCTTTTGAAAGGATATAATTATTTATTCATTACTTTAATAGGA